TACGAGGTGCCCTGACTGTAAGTCAGTTGAAAATTTCCGCACCGGTGAGCGTCAGCGCTCATACCACTTGACTTGAGATTGAAAAAGTTGAAAGCAAAATTTCGATCAGGTCGTACTGAAGGGGGAAACAAGGTCAATCGCATTGAGGGAAAATTCCCCACGTGCGCATGATGTCCCGCCAGCTCGTTCCTGTCTTCGAGAATTGGAGAGTGAATTACTTTTCTCACAAGAAAACAAGAGAACTCTTTGAAAGTCTCCTCAATTCTTCGTTTGGTTCTACTCCACCAATGCGGTGGAGCATTTCGGAGTAAGACACTCAAAATATTTGAAACCGACGTTTTTCCTATTATGGAACTACCCGCCGACCTCGTAACACGATGGGCTCATGAAAAAACCTCATCTCCCGGCCCATAAGCGTTTCTTTGCATCTTACCCAATAGAGGCTCCACCTCGCAGGGTGGCCAATTTTTTGACCCATGCCATGCGAGGGGTATAGGGTATCGCACTCACACTGTGAGTGCGATCCCCCTACCCTAATACGCTCTCTCCCTCCACACTTCCAGTTGAATTGTCAGATATAAGTACAGATGCGATAGGTATGCCAGACTAGGACTAACGCAACTAAACAAGTGGACTGTGACAGTATAAGAATAGAGGACCAAGATGACTAAACAAAAAGGAGTCCAGAAAGTATGGGGGCGAGGTCGCACCAATATTGGGGGTCACTGCGCAAATTCTAGTTTTATGGGACTTCTAGGAGGAGGGGTGGTGGTTCTGGGCAGCCAAGATAGAGAATGGAAGGTGCCTCTTCTCAAAAATTATAAGTTTTCAAGGAGCATGATCTTCGGAAAATGGAAAGCGGCATAGAGCTAAGTTCACTGCCATTCTGTACGATCCTTAATCTGGATTTGTCCCAAACCGTTAAACATTTTTGAGAGTAGTTTAGTCCGAAGGGGGCATTCTGCTAGTTCCTTTTGATCACTACTTAGTGTGGAGACCTGTAACTTCCTGTGAGGCTATGAAATAACAGGAGTATCGTTCATACTTCACAACAGTCTACCAGTCTCGCCTAGGTGGGACACGTGATTCAACAGGAGATAGCAGAAGAACTTGCAAATGTGCAAAATGTTACTTCCAGCAATCATTTTGCTTTGAATTAGATGGGATAGTCGCAAAATGCATGCGAGTCTGTATGCTTTGGGCGACCACAACGGCATGCATACACAACTGCCTTGGGAATCTGGGAAATCTGTGACCAAGCAGTCCCTAGGGAGAGATCGAATAACTTCTTTCAAACGCAATCTTTTGCAAAACTAAGAGCGCTTTCAAAACGCCCAACATTTCACCTTTCTAGCGAGCTCTTATCTACAGTTTCCCTGAAGGCCGCTAGTAAATAAGATATTTCCAAAAGAGTCACCCTTGGGCGACCACTCAATGGCAAAACCTCTAGCCACTCAAAAGCTCGACTCCTTCTGTGCCATTGTAAGGATACTCATTCGCGAACTTCAATATGCCTTCAAAACACATATTCCCGTTGAACTGAGTCAAAGCATAATTTGGTTATTATCGATCGGTTTGGTGTGCGCTCTGCATTACCCTCTACGCAGAGGTGGTGGTAAAGTGTAACTTCTCATTTCAGGTGATTTTTCCATGCATTCAGATGATTTGTTTAAGGGTTTGGGAGGGTCGATACGCACAAATCCGTCCGAAATGTATTACGTTACGTTTAGGTCTACGTTTACGATTCCTCTCCCTCCCTAGCGGCCAAGTACGACCCCCGTCCCCGATAGGTTTCGCACAGCGATGCTTACCCTGCTCTCACTGATGGGAGACTAGAAAACGAACGCACGTTGCTAAAATGTTTTTCTCGACCTAGGCCCTGTTTCTACTAAAGCTCCTCCCGACTTCCTTTCAAAAAAAGTTACCTTGCGCGAATTCTTCGATGTCGGTTGCTACCGAATTGTCGTGCGAACGTTCGAATGTTCAGGCAGTGCTGTTTGAGGGGTGATGCATTGGCGGACATACTTTTAGGCGTCTGAAACAGTTGTTTGTAAACAGTGCAGTGTAATCACATCAAGATTCCCCAATCTACCTTTGTCCTTCGATGCCTTTTCACCTTCTTGACCCTTCTCGTGTGAGGTCGTGATTTTCGCGGTCTATATTCGGCGTTTTCTTCTTCCGGTCTGTACGGCTCTCGATTAATTTTGCTCAGACGTAGTATCTTCCGTCTGAAGGTCATGGCGGTAGTGGTCTCCTGAAACTGATAAATATTGAGAGAAATAGGAGGGAAATCGATGATCGCAGACCGGCTCATCGTCCTGCTCATGCGAATCCTCCCTTGATCTCGAATTGCTGGCCTCCCTTTGCTCATCTGCCATTCTTGTCCTAGAAGGAAGTGATGCTTTCCTAGAATACCTTTCCAATACTCTACTGGTGTAGTAGCTTAACTTCGATTTACCTTAATTTCCTGGACCTGCCAGTCTTGCGACTCCTTCGTCTCTTCTTCGGTGGCTCCGTCACTTCCTCATCGACCTCTTTTTTCTCCTCAAGACTCTCCAGATCTTTCGAAACTGGCCTCATCATCAGGTTCGAACTGAAATTTGAGTGTTTCCAAAGGGAACTGCTGCCTCTAATGGTGATTTTACCCACCCTCA